TTCAAGCTTGGTTTCATCAGACCATAACACTTTTTCCCACGTGCTTTTGGGAGACTTCAGGTGTGTTACTGCAAAATTTAGCCAGGCTTGGATGTTTTTCTTCATAAGAAAAGGCTTCCATCTTGCCAGTCTACCCCATAGTGCAGACATATGAAGAATATGGGAAATTGTTGTCACATGTACCACACAGCCAGTACTTGCCAGATATTCCTGCAGCTCCTTTAATGTTGCTGTAGGCCTCTTGGCAGCCTCCCTGACCAATTTTATTCTAGTCTTTTCATCACTTTTGCAGGAACATCCAGTTCTTGGTAATGTCACTGTTGTGCCATATTTTCTCCACTTGATGATGATTGTCTTCACTGTGTTCCATGGTATATCTAATGTCTTGGACATTCTTTTATACCCTTCTCCTGATAACTTTTGAACAATGAGATCCCTCTGGTGCTTTGAAAGCTCTCTGTGGACCATGGCTTCTGCTGTAGGATGTGACTAAGAAAATGTCAGGAAAGACCTACTAGCATAGCTGAACTTTATTTGGGATTCCTCAGAGGCACTTTAAATGATGGCATAACATACTACTGCATAACAAGTACCCCCACGCACGGACGCCCCGACCCACGCCCCATTCACGGACGCCAACGGCGGCAGCAGCCACCCCACCGGTCCTTGGAAGAATGGTCTTCAACAAAACTGGTCCCCAGCATTAAAAAGGTTGGGGACCACTGCTCTAGACCCTCTCTTACTTGTGACAATGTGGCTCCCAACCCTCTATCTGAGGCATCTATAAATAATGTAAAAGTTGAAATCCGGGGCAAAACATGTGGGAATTTCACAAATGATGGATTTTAGGGTCTGAAATGCTTCTTCTTGGCACTCTCCTCACCTCACCAGTTTAGGGCCTTTCTTCCTGGTTAGGTCAGTCAGTGGGGCAGCAATGGTAGAGAATCGTGGGATGAACTGTCTGTAGTAACCTACCAACCCCAAGAACTGCTGGACATCTCTTTTCGTCTGAGGTCGGTACCGCTGAGATATTTTTGTCACCTTTTCTTGTTGGGGTTGGATTTCGCCTTTCCCTACCTTAAACATTAAGTACTCTACCTTAGGCAAGGCTATCTTGCATTTTTTTGGGTTAACCATCAGTCCTGCTTTTCTCAACTCTCTTAGTACCCTTCTTAGGTGGGTCAGGTGTTTTTCCCATGCGTCACTATATACTATGATGCCATCTATGTATGCAGCTGCACAATCTTGTAAGGGGGTTAAGATCTTGTCCATGAGTCTTTGAAACATTGCAGCTGTGCTGTGCAACCCAAAAGGCATTTTCACAAATTTATACAAGCCCTTTGGGGTGCAGAAAGCTGGTTTTTCTTTGTCCTGGGGTGTTAAAGGGATTTGCCAGTATCCCTTAGTGAGATCTATTGAAGATAGGTATCTGGCGCCCCCTAGCCTGTCTAGCAAATCTCCTGTTTTGGGCATTGGGTATGCATCGAATTTGGATACTGCGTTTACCTTCCAGAAGTCTATACAGAAACGTAGGGATCCATCGGGTTTTGGAACCATTATCGGGTAGCTCCGCCAAGGCCCTTTGGCGGGTTCTACCAACCTTAACTTAATCATTTCCTCCACCTCACTTTCAATGACACCTGCCAGTTGCCTAGGCCATGTCCTTTCCTTGGACCTTACTACTACTCTGGGTTGGGGCTCAATCACATGTTCTACTAGGTGTGTACACCCAGGTACCCTGGAAAATACCTCTGGAAATTCTCCTTCTAAAGCTAACACTTGTTTTTTCTGTTGAAGGCTCACTTGTTCATTCACTACAAATGTAGATCTCTCCTTAAGATCTTCGCTCTCTGGTCCTAACTCTTCCTCCATCTGGGTTCCATACAGACACTCTCAATCGATCCACCTTTTCAATAAATTTACATGAAAGATCTGTTTCTTCTTCTTCCTATCTGGAGTTTCTATTTCGTAGTCCACCTCACTAACCCTTCTCAACACATTGTAAGGCCAATGCCATTTTGCAAAGAGTTCGGGGGACTCAGTAGGCAACAGCAGTAACACCTTTTGCCCAGGTTCCTGGGGCTTGACTTTTTTGTCACACCTGGTTTTTTGCTTAACCTGGGCTTGCTTGAGATTATCCTTTGCCAATTCCCACGCCACTTCTAGACTGTCCCTCATTTCCACAATTTGTTGCAAAGCACTATGGGAGTGATCTTCTCCCTCTTCCCATTTTTCCCGAATTAAAAAAAATCCAGCACCCCTCTAGCATTCCTCCCATATAACAATTCAAAGGGTGAGAACCCAGTTGATGATTGAGGTGCGTCCCTGACCACAAACATTAAGGCTGGCAGGAAGGTGTTCCATGACTTAGGCTTTTCTATTACCAATTTTCTGAGCATACCTTTCAAGGTTCGATTAAAACGTTCAACTAGCCCATTGGCTTGTGGGTGATAAATTGAGGTTTTCAGAGGCTTTACCCCCAGCATTTCCCTCATCTGTTTGAATGTCAAACTCATAAAATTAGAACCTTGGTCTGTTAGTACTTCCCTAGGAAAACCCACCCATGAAAAACCCCTAGCCGCTCTTTAGCCAGCACTTTGGCAAATGTAGATCTCAAGGGAATGGCTTCCAGGTACTGGTTGGCATAATCTATTATCACCAGTATATATGGGTGTCCCCCGGTTGACTTAACCAAAGGTCCTACAACGTCCATGGCAATCCTATTGAAGGATCTATCGACCAAAGGCATAGGCATCATTCCTCCCCCCCCCCAAGTCTGGCTTTAGGCTGGATGATCTGGCACATTGGGCAAGACTGGCAATATTCTTCCACTGATTTAGCCATTTTCAGCCAGAAGAACCTCTGGCCAACTCTAGCCAAAGTTTTTTGTGTGGCTAAGTGTCCCGCCAGTGGCACGTCATGTGCCAGGTACATGATCCAGTCCCGTAACTGCTCTGGCAGCACCAGTTGAGTCACTTCTCCAGCATCATTCTTAGTAACCCGGTACAGCAAACCCAGCCTAACCTCAAAATTTGTTTCTCCTTCTTTGGTTGTCACTTTGGGGACTGCTTGCAGTCGGCTTTCTTCCAGCCCCATATCATCTTGTTGCCAGTTCCTTAATTGGTCTCTGGACAAACCCCCTAGTTCAGATTCCATCACACAGTTCGCTAATTCCCCATTACATGCCTCAGCTACAGTGTATGGCAACTCTTCCACACTGGGCCAGTCTCTCCCCAGGAGCATATCTCTTCCTAGCCCAGGTACTATGCCTACTTCCAACATCCTCTTTTGGTCCCCTATCTCTGTCTCAGCCAGGGCTGTTTCATATTCTTTGGCATCGCCGTGTACACACTTGATAATCATACTATCCGGCAGGCATGCCCCTTCCAGTCTTTGGGTTTTGCTACACCCGGTATCTATAAGGGTTTTTCTATTGTCTGTTCACTTTGGCCTTTACTGCCCACCCCGGGTGGTCTTCACCCACCTTGGCTATGAAAGCGTAGATGTTAGTCCACACGCATTCTTCTGTGGGACAGTTCTTTTTTATGTGGCCGTACTGCCCACACCCGAAACACATGGTCATCTTTGTGTTCCAGGTTGTCAATTGCTTGTTGGGTGCAATGTTATTAATGGCCTGGGAATTCTGGTTCCGGATGTGTTCACAAAGTCTACCCAGTCTGGCCTCGTTTTCTTGTATCCCAGCATCACTGGGCTTCTCGTTGCAGCTCGCACGCTAGTCTCTGCCATCTTCTCCTTACTTCTCAAACGTTCTGGCTGCGTCCCAGATCTACCTTGCCACGTCTCGTCTGCTTCCATATGGTCCTCTAATAACACCACAGCACCCTCTAGCGTAGTGGGCTTATGTTTCATCACTCAATTCCTTTGTCCCAAGCTTAGTGTGGAAATTAACTACTCCATAATAATGATGTCCATTATCTGTTTTTTCCTTTCGGCTCAATGCACCGCATGGCGTTGACTTTCATCTTTTGTACCACCGTTCTGGGATGTAGCCCTGGTTTCATCCTGAGGTCTCTAAATCGCCTCCGGTATGCTTCTTCGTTTAAATTAAACTTATTTAGGATAGCCGTTTTAATCAATTGATAGTTACACGCCTCTTCGGGGTCCAACGTGTCTACTATCTCTTGTGGTGAACCTGTCAAGTACCCACTAAAGTCTGAATTGCTTTCCAGCATGCTATTACTTTCCTTCTCCTTCCCTCCCCTTAACTGAAAATGACCAGAGGATAACTTCCATTTGGGGGTATGTGACAAAATCAGAAACCCTTATTAACTACAGCAAGACTCCTAGTTTCAGTTTAAAGGGGAATCAGTACTCCTGGAAATCTCCAGATGCATACAGCTTATGTGATTTCCATACTTGACACACAGAGTTCCTCAGAAATGATTTCAAGTTGCTTGTTTGTGAAAAATCAGATCACCAGCTAATGATTTGTCAGAAAAATAGGGAATTGTGGGAAAGTTAAATAAAAATAGCTGTTAGAGGAAACTGTACATGATAGTTGCATTGTATCCAAGGTTGTGCTGGGTAAACAAGCTCAAAGTCCATTTTGAAATTAACTCAGGATATGGAACAGGAAGGTGACAACAACATGGGTTTAAAAGGAGCTTGAGAAGCCTCCGACATCTATATGGAACAGCAGGATATCCAAAAGGATTTAGGACCATCCTCAGCTTCATTTGAACAGGCTGATGACTGCTGCATATAATGTCCAGAACTGATGGATGTGTGCCTGATAGTCAAGTAATAAAAACTGTATGTCCAGCTACCTTCTAACCTTTATAAATTATATTGTACTTTTGCTTATTGGAACACTTGAGTCCAAGAATCATAGTAAGCAAAATACCTGTACAAACAAGGAACAATTCAAAATAACTTTATAAATTGTCACATTTCTGCTTTGTACATATTTCTGTCACTTTCTTCTGGGTTGCTACCGACAGTCTGCAAATTCTGCTCTTCTTTTCCTTGGCAAAAGGTAGTTTTTTTGAATGCAAAACCAATTTAACACCACCCTTTAGTGCATTATTTACACAGGAGATGCAACACAGTATAGTTCTCCTATTACCATGCCCCCAAAGATCCAAGACAATTGATACTTTAACAAAATGTAAATAATTGCCACCTCTGAAGCAATATTTCAAAAAAGAATTAGTAAAGGTTAGCACACACCTACCACTCTCACAACAGATCGAGTCAATGCTTCTTTTACAGAACAGATTAAAATTATCATGGTTCAAGTAGTAAACCATTTTCTGAAAGACTTCTGAGGAATCTGTACGTCTGATAAATACGAACACAACGGGAGCAGCACACATTGCTGTATAGTGCATATAAAAGGGTTTCTCCTTTAAACTATGAGGACAGATGGACAGACCAAAAAAAGAAGTGTGATCAAAGTATAATCATGGCAATTGATAAAGCACATCCCAGCACACACCCAGATTCTCTGTCCAGAATTTCTCCGCGTTAAGAGGGTTACATAGACATTTGGTTCTCAAACAGCAGTCAAATTCAAGAGGAGATCCAACTCCTATGCAAAAAAGGATCCCCCTGCAGGAAGGTCTGACCTTCATCCAGCTTCTGAGTGGAGGGGCTGCAACATGCAATTGCATGCCCCTGCCTCTCTCCAGAGGAAGAACAATTCCTTGTCAAGACAAGCCTTCGCCTGTTTCCCTTTGGGGCTCATATCAGTTCCCAGTTCCATGCAGCTCTTCTTCAGTTTCAATCTTCTTGTGTTTCCTCATATGCTTGTACTTCTCGACATAAGCTTTCACAAGATTAGCCACCTTCACAGGGTTGATTTCACCACTTTTGCTATGACAGATCTACAAATGGGAAAAGGAAACAAATTAGTTTTTATATGCTTAATGGGGCAAACCTCAAATCACATTTCTTCACGTTAGATTCCTTTGCTGGAAAAGAAGGGTACTGCTAGGTCAGCAAGTAAAATCCAGCTGCTACAGCATACAAACCCATCCCTCCTTCCCAGGAATCTTAAACTAAACTCTGTTGTCCCTTAACCTTTTGCACTGCTTTCCGGAGAATGTCCTTGTATTCCTCTTTGGTGATCTCCCTCTTCTGGTAAAAGGGCTTAATTGCAAGCTTTACTTCTTCCACAGCTCTCTCTTGCATATGAAGTTTCTTCATGTACTACAAGGATTTTTTTAAAAAGAGGGTGTTAATCAAAATACAATCAGCAGCATCTCAAACTAAAACACCATTTATAGTATTAAAGCACAAATAAAGATTGTTAAATGAATGGAGAAAAGCTATTCTTTCAGAATGTGGGGCAATACAGAAAAACTGAATGGCAGGGAGATTAGCAATGAATGACAAGCTATTTCTTTATGAACTAAATCATTAATTTATAGAACTTCTAGCCATCATATATGGTGATGGTCAATAGCTTAGATGCACTGGGGGGTGGTATCATATTCCATTCATATCCACAGGCCTCTGAACAGCTCTTTACCACAACAGCTGAGGGGGGGCGCACACATTTAAAGTTCTGGCAAATAAATGTGAGGGAAAGGAAGCATTTGTTGTTCAATCTGAACTAGGCAGTCTCATCCCCAGGCCAATTCTTAATTTTTTTCTCCTTAGAAAGGAGATGATCTTATCTTAAGAACATCTTAGCTAGCCATTCTCATCTACCCACCTCTTCGCTTTTAGTTTTATCGGTTGGAGATTTAGGTGCTTTGACTTTTTCTTCTGTATCTCCCGTGGAAGCTGCCTGAATTGGTGGCTCTGAAGCCGTAGCCAGGTTACCAGGCTCCGGAGTTAATCCCTGGCCTGCCACGCAGCTGAGCAAAGGAAGACTCCCCTGCATTATGAACTGGACAGTGGGCTGACTGACAGGTGCATATGGGGGCAGGCTGGAGGGCAATGGCGGTGTCAAAGGCAGGTTTTGGTTGTAAACCTGAAGAAAAACAAAACAGGAGTCAGAAACTGATGCTCACATCACAACAAAGTTACTGGGGGATCAGGATTTTAAGGACTGCTTTCATTCAACTCAATATTGTGTGTTTTTCTGACCATTCAAAAAACCTAAAGCTTTTATTCCCTCAGCAGCCCTATTCTCACATCTGTTGGTGTTAATTGTACAAACCATATTTTTACACAGTCTCTTATCTCTTCTGAAAATATCTCAAAGTCTCCCCCCCCATTTCAGTGATAAAGCTACTGCAAATTAAAAGTCATCAGTAGCATGGGTTCTATTTTCCCCCCCCATTTCAGTGATAAAGCTACTGCAAATTAAAAGTCATCAGTAGCATGGGTTCTAATGTACAAGGTGTGATAATAGTAGACTCAGAAGGTTATTGACATGTATAGCCTGTATGAAATGTACTCTATGTGGAAAGAGGAAAAGCTGTCCACAATGAAATCAGGCAGGATTAAAGTTCACAGATGAAGTGGAATGGCCTTCCATGATACCCAATTTCTGGAGTGGGAACCAACCTGAGAGGAATCTAGATCAGGAAACATAGGCTCAGGAATCATATAATTGGTTGGAGGAGGCTCAGTTAACTGCACCTGATTTAATGTTTGGGTCAAATCCTCTGCCTTCCAGACCCCGTCTTTCATTCTCTGCTGTTTACAGAATGGCACTCCTAGATTTCACCAAAGAGAAGAAAAGGCATTTCAGCATAGCAATGAATCCAAATAATCAGAGCAAATAAACACATCTTAACCTATCTATCATTATTCCTGGGAAAGAAAAATATACTATGGGGGGTTGGACCCAGACTTAGTAGACTCTTCGGAATCAGTGTGACTTTAAGTCCTGTTGAATTTGAGGGCTTTACTCTAAGTGTCACAAGTGCTCTAAGCAGATTTTTCTTAAATATCAACCATTTTCAAGGATTTTTAAAATACTTCATGCAGTTAATTTCATCACTTAAAGCACCTTAAAATGATTCAGATGTTAAATGTGTTCAACATTCAAGCATTTAAATTTTAAAGGTCAATCCTGTATCACATATTTTTAGCTGCTTGGACATGTTCTGTAGAAGTCACTAAAAAAATGTGTGTAAGTGTGAGCCTCAGACCCCTTCTTCACAGTAAAGCATTGTTTGCAATTTTATCTCAACTCATCAACTATAGTTTGCAGAGAACAGTACAAAAGGAAACAAAGCAAGCAAGCATATGAGACCAAGACTCACTTTAATGTTATCAAACCATGGTTTACTCTGAACCAATCATATATGATTGACAATTTTTCTCTTTAAAACCAAAGAGGTTACATCATTAGGAAATGCATTCAAGGATGGTCTTCCTTTTTCTCCCTCAAACTGTGGCAGATGTTTTGAGCTTCAACTGCTTGCTATTGTAGAGATCAGAGATAAATGATACAAATCCAGCTGAAATTAATCTATGCTACTTTTAAATACCTCCACCCTCAAGACTTCTGCCTTACAGACTAAAAAGAAATCCTTTACACTTACTTGGTGTTTTGTCATTTGTCACTGAACCACTTTCTTCCTCTTGAAGATTCCATGTAACCCTTTTCACTGGCGCTTTAGATTTCAAAACAGGACCTTGAGCTGCAGCCTCCAGTTCAGGTTTATTTACATCGGCTGCATTCTCATCCAGCAAAGGACTTCCATGTTTAGTCTCAGTTAATGTTCTAATTTCAGAAAACGTTGGAAGTACTGTTGCCTCACTATGAGTTGGTGTAAGTTCCTCCTTCTTTAGAACAAAAGAGTCTGATAAAAATGGGCACACATCATTGTCTTCCTCTTTAATTTCCATTTCTTCCAGTTTCACACTACTTTGACTATCAAGCCCTGGTGAATCATAGTCCATTATCAATTCACTCCCAATCAAAGAATCAACACAGTCAGGTAACACTCCAGAACCTGCTGCTTCTGGCTGGGAAGGAATTTTTTCATTTACAGACTTCTCACAGATTTGCTCCACTAGAATGTCCTCTTCCAGATCTACTTTTTTAATGTTACCCTCTGGAAGAAGATCCCATACAGGACCCTGGTCTAAATCAACATTAAAGGTCTCTTGCACTTTATCTTCTGGCTCTTGTGTGTGAGATGGAAGATGAGCATAAGGACTGTCTAGGTTGTCAACTGAGTATTTCTGGTCTTCCGCTTGCAGAGATACAGGTGACATCTCTTTTGGCTTATGTCTCCTTTCCTTAGAACATGACCTGGACCGTGGTAGTTTCTCCCTTGATTTAGTCCCTTTGGACTCCCGTGATCGTGATTCAGAGGGTGACCGTGATCGCCTTTTCCGCTTCTCCCGAGACCTAGATCGTGATCTTTTTCTCTCTCGTGATCGTGAGCTCCTCTCTTTCTCATGTCTGTCATAGCTTCTCTCTCGTCTATGTTTCTTTTTTTTACTTCTCTCGGCACTACTTGATCGAGAGTACGGTCGCCCCCTTATTCTAGAAGCAGAGTGCTTTTTCTTTTTCCTGCTTTCATATAAGTCAAAATTGTCAGGACTACAAGATCGGGATCTAGTTCTCTTGTGTTCTTTTGGCCAAGAACTTTTTGCCTTTTTCTCTTTCGTTTTCTCTTTAGTTTTCTTTCTTTTTGAATGCTCGTAATTGTTGGAGCGGTCACTTGATGATTCTTGGGTTCTGGTTTTAACCCGGTGGCTTTTGCTATATTTGTCTTCAACCGAGTATGAACTAGATCTGGAGCTTCTCTCTTTGCAGCATGATCCTGATCTTGACCGAGATCTAGATGGGGTGCTTTTGTACTCTTTTATACCTGCCCTTTTTTGTTTGCTTTTTTTCTGGCTCCGAGAACTGGAATTTGATGGAGATCTTGAAAAATGACACTCTACCACTTGCTCATTTCTGTTTTGTTGCTTATTTTCCCTCATGGGACTCTCTGGCTCCACTTTCACTCTTAGTTTAACTTCATCTTCATCAAAATTGATTTTAGGAAGATCCTTATCCTCATCTAAGTGTTCTATATAAGCTATCTGGTTGATGGCAGATGATGTACAAGGTGTAATTGCCAATTCCTCCTCCTCAACCTTTTCTTGTTCTGAACTGAAAATCTGTTCTGCCACTTTCTCCTTTATCATAACCTCTTCTTGAGCCTCCACATTAGTCAACTGTGCATCAGATGATTCAGCCCCTGGTCCAAATATGTTTTCCAAAGTGTATGGTGTAATGCGGCGCACAGTTTGAAACGTCTGAACTTTCGGACTTGTTATGGATATTGTTCTGGTGATATTAGTGAGGGGCAACCTTTCGGGACTGCTATTTGTTGAACTTGAATCAGAGCCTGTTGGATCAAAAGGATCATATATTTCACTTTTTATTGGTTTGGTTTTCTTCAATGAAAACAGAGGTGAAGGATTCTCTTTCTGTTGCACTTTATTATCAACGGGTCGGAAAGTATTGCAAAATCCAGGATTAGATAGTCTGCTGGAATGCCCAACATTTCCAGGGATGTTGATTTTAAAGCTCTCAAAGGAAGAGCTCCCAACTTTCCCCCTTGTTGAAGGAGAAGAAGTACTATGGGAAACTGAGTGTGCAGAAGTGCCTCCAGCTGCTGTCTGTGCTTGCCGATGAGAAGAATTTGACTTGCTACCTTCTGTCTTAACCCCTCTAACTGGTTGGTTTGTGTTCCCTTTGCCAGTCAGCTGTGTTATACAGAAGCTGGGAATGTCACCACTTTGGTCATTAGCAGACTGTGATCCAAGTTGTCCACTTGTGGTTTCTTTTTTAATCTTTGGTATCCTGGGAAGTTCAGATATTTCAAGCCTTTTGGGAGAAGGTTTTGGAGGCTGCCTGGGGGGCACCATTTTTGAGACTGAGCTAGAGTTGTTCTGCATGCATTTAGAAGATGCAAGAAGAGGGGCTGAGGCTTGCTTAGAGCCCCCATTAAATCTGGAAACTTCACCCAGCCTGGGGCCACATCTATTCAGATTTGCCAAATTCTGAGTCTGAACAGATCTCGGAGTCATTGAGTATTCGAATCTAATGGGTGCTCTTCCAGATGTAGCTGGTGTTGAATTCATAGGTTTGCTTACTATGCTCAGTGATGATGGAAATGAGGAGTTTACATTTGAGATGGCAAGTCTTGGGCTTGAAGATTCTGTGCTAGTGCTACTAACTGGAGTCCCCAAAAGTAATGCTCCTGGCTGGATACTGTCCTCCAAGTCTTCTTCTTGTCTTGAACTGTCATGCAGCACTGGAACTGAAAGATACAAGAGGAAAACGAAAGAGCTTCAATCCCTTATTCGTTCTAATCCACAATTCTACTAAGCATATTCTTTGAAAACTAAATGACAAAAATGATGGCATCTGAAAGTGCCAATTCAAGGCTTACCATCAGAGGGCACAATGGCTACAAATCAATGCTAACTGTCTGCCTAGATGCTGCATGGATTAGAAGATTCATGAGCATCAAGTACAAAGTTCTCTACAGAATTAAGATCTGCTTGGCTGAGCATCATATTAGCAATTGAGGATTAAAAAAGCCAAAATCCTTACTTGCTTTCTTTGCTGTTAAGGATCCATCTCTATTGATGATGACATCAGAACCGCTCATCATAAGGAGGCTCTGTCCAGTCAGGATGCTTCCCACCAGGTCAGGAACAGGTGGTGACTCAGACTCTGGCTCAGGTGACAAGGCGGGCATGCTCCTCCTAGAAATTACACAAAGAAGAGCACCTTTATTTCCCCATTTAACATGCAAGCTCTCCATCTGGTTTTAAGATGGTAGTTGCCTCTTCAGGAAGACAGGGTAGGGTGTGACTGAATGCACACCTACGGCTATGACTGTCCCTGTAAGCAGCAATGGCCTGTGCTATGCTGACAGCTAGAGCATAAATCCAACATCACAGGAGCTGATATCCACTTGTACAAAAAAGACTTCCCAATCCTTTCCTCCCTGTTGTAACCCTCTTCTTCAAGTGTTTCCTGTTTGCCAGTTCAAATTTGAGTCACAGGGCACAAGGAATCCATTCCACTGAATACAAGCACTGCTATCAGTGAGATGCAGCACTAATTGCTGCTGCAAGTCTGATGCACTACTGTGCCTTGGAGGAGAAGAGACAACCTGTATGGCCTTGGGCAAATTGCACATTCCCAAAGCAGACTTAGTAGAAAAGGGGAACGATAAACCATTTCTGAGCACTCTAGATCTAAGAAACTCCAGAAAAGGTTGCCATGTCAGACACAACCTGATGACACATTACTGATATTACTAATATTGGGATAAGAAAACGAAAATATCCAGGGTCTAATTTTGTTGTTGTTGTTGTTGAGAGGTTTCATTTTGTATAGGGATAGCTAGGGAATAAGTAATATCCAAAGCAATCTGTAGGAGAAGAGACAACCTGTATGGCCTTGGGCAAATTGCACATTCCCAAAGCAGACTTAGTAGAAAAGGGGAATGATAAACCATTTCTGAGCACTCTAGCTCTAAGAAACTCCAGAAAAGGTTGCCATATGTCAGACACAACCTGATGACACATTACTGATATTACTAATATTGGGATAAGAAAACGAAAATATCCAGGGTCTAATTTTGTTGTTGTTGTTGTTGAGAGGTTCCATTTTGTATAGGGATAGCTAGGGAATAAGTAATATCCAAAGCAATCTGTATGCCACAATATTAGGCAAAGAGCAGAAATGCATCTTACTAACATGCCAAAATAAACCATAAATAACAATATCAAAGAAATATGAAAAAAGAATAAAATGCTGCAATAAGCAAAATTTCAATTTTAAACTTGTCACTTAAGTGGAACAAACTAGCACAGGACTTTGTAGCAAGGCATAAAAAGGTAAAGGTTCCCCTTGACAATTTTTGTCCAGTCGTGTTCGACTCTAGGGGGCGGTGCTCATCCCCGTTTCCAAGCCACAGAGCCAGCGTTTTGTCCGAAGACAATCTTCCGTGGTCACATGGCCAGTGCGACTTAGACACGGACCGCTGTTACCTTCCCACCGAGGTGGTCCCTATTTATCTACTTGTATTTGCATGCTTTCGAACCGGTAGGTTGGCGGGAGCTGAGACAAAGCAACGGGAGCTCACTCCGTCGCGTGGATTCGATCTTACGATTGCTTGGTCTTCTGACCCTGCAGCAGAGGCTTCTGCGGTTTAGCCCGCAGCGCCACCACACATATATTCATTTAAATGGCTAGAATATGCAAACAACAAATGCTCTACGAAGGCTCAGAAGCCAAAGGAAAATAGATCCATAATATTTCCAGTGTTTCTGGGGCTGGGAGGGGGCAGGATTTAGTATGCTGATGACAATCTAAACATGTTTGATTTGCAAAAGTTAAACAGGCTGTAGAATACCTTCCTTGGCACAGAATTTTAATCACTTTTAAAGAATGCATATTTTTCTAACACTTCGACTTTTTAAACTAACCTTTCTCCCTAACACATTTTCTTTCAGCTTTTTTTTTAATCAAAGGAAGGTACAGTGGTGCTCCGCATAGCGAGGTTAATTCGTTCTGGATTAACCGTCGCTATGGGGAAACATCGCTAAACGGAACGGAAAATGCCACTGGAACGCATTAAACTTAGTTTAATGCATTCCAATGGCTTCTGTACTCATCGTTTAGCGAAGTTTCCCCCATCCGGCAGCCATTTTCGTGCCCTCGGTAAGCGAGGGCAGGGCGCGAAAACACTGCGCGCGGCCATTTTGGAGCCGCCGATCCGCTGATTTCCTGACATCGCAATGCGAAGATCGGTAAGCGAAACACTTACTGAGTTTCGCAATGCGAGTTTTGCCCATTGGGGCTGCCGGTATGCCTTCGCATTAGCGATCCCAAAAAGTGATCACTATGCGAATTCGTCATTGTACGGTGTGCTCATTATGCGAGGCACCACTGTACTGTAAAGAATGTTGTGAACAAAAAGACTAAAAAACATTAACCTACTAGATGTGAAGTCACAATATAATGTACATCAAAACAGGACAAAGCAACATTGCTGTATCAGATGGTGCCTGCATCATCCTGGAGATAAAGTACATCCAGTACTACATTACCAGCAGCTATAGCCACAGTATACCAAGACCTGGCTGGCTGGCCCTCAGTCACTATCAGGTTGTTGTTGCTGTTGTTATGTACAGTGAAATAGCTTCTAACTCATGGCAACCTTAGATACTGACTTTCAAAAGGTTCTGTCATTAAAAGCATTGCTCACTTCTTGCAAACTCAAGGCTGTGGGTTTCCTTTACTCAGCTACCTTCAGGTTGGCTTAATCTAATGTATTCTTCAGGGAGCTGTTTTTCAAGAGAATTGAGAAGTCCATGCTAGGTTGCTGGGACATTTCTTGAATGGCCAGAACAGCACACACAACTCCTGTCTTATATCATCTACCCCAAATCACATGGAGCACAGCATTTTAAGAACCTCATCCACCATGGCCTGATCTTTACAAGAATCTTCCTGATTTTTGCAAATGTTGCAAGAGGCCCTGCTTTATAATTCCCCTGCCCATTCTGACACTTCCTGTTTTTCAATAAGCACCAACATATTTTTCAACAAACCCCTTATCAGATCTCTTTCTTATGGAGTCATTTTACTACTAGATTTTTAATTTAAGAAATCCATAATGGTAACAGACTGGAGATCAGCTCTGCTGGTGCTGGTGGAAAGGGAGGCAAAGGGGGGCAAGTAGTTGAATACTTCTTCCTCTGCATCCTCTATCACTTCTCTCCAATGTGCCACTGGCCTTACTAACCTTTGAAGCAATCTTCCAGGGGAGGACCAGCTTGGCATATCTTAACCCAACCATCCTTCCCCGTTTGGCCAGGAAAAAAGCCCAGCATGACCACAAACCTCTTGCTGCCAAAAAGAACCATTCAATTGATAAGAGGCTTTTTATTGTTGCTACTGCTGCTGGACCCAGATCAGTATTTCACATTCCCTTTAGTGTTCCTACCTTGACTATTAGAATTTATTTATTAGAAAGGTGAGACAGAAATACTTAAAAATATACATTAGAAGCTCAGTTTGAAGAGGCAATGGCTTCAGATCACCTCACCTGAAATAGTATTTTCAGTACACACCATTCCACATGCTGAAGGATGTCTACATACTTCTCAAACTATATGTAACAACTAAAATTGAGGTAAAGTTTCTCATTTTTGAATTTCATTGTGGCAGTCCCATCAGGTGCCATTAGCTAGTTTTGCCTTACCTGTAGTAACTCACCTGCTACTTGCCTTCTCTGGAGGTGAACATTTGGCTGCATTCCTGCTCTTTGGTGGATTCTCCCCTAATTTTCAATGAGCTTTGGCCCTCTTTGGCTCTAGAGGGAACATCTCAGTGTACTCAGCTTACACTTTGGCTCCTAATAAAAAGGAAGCAGAAAGCTCCCTAAACCTTTAAGCATTTGTTCTAGAATTTCACAGGCATGGACTCAACATGAGACAAAGTTCACTTTTTGTCATATCTTAAGGTGAGGAGCAGGAATCCAGCCAAACGACCCTGTTCAAATCCTAGGCAAAGAACACTCTGTCTTCTCAAAGGAAGCCTAGGATCTACAGCCCTGGGCCAATCACAGTCTCTTTCTGCCTAACCTATCTACCTCACAGGATTGCTGTGAGGATAAAAATGGGGCCGGGGTTGTTACACCAATAAAGTGGGATTTGGGGTGGGGTGGGGAGACCTTCAGCTCCTTAAAAGAAAGTTAGAATGCAAATGTATCAAGTCAGAATCCAAATAAACACATGTAAATAAAATGGCTGCATACAATGCTCACAAGAGAAGCTAGTGAATTAGTGCATTAGAGAGCTTTACTGAAACTCTGAAAGGAAGAAGAACCAAAGATATGAGTCTGTTATTCCTGAAATACATCATCCAGGTGTTCCTTTTCACACAGAGATGTCAAACACAAACAGCTACTTCCCTACATGTTTCATTTGCCTCTAATCTTTCATAAATAGCAGGGTTGTTGTCTAAGATCCACTGAGAAAACCGGTAGACATTTAAAGTCATGCACTTCACATCACACTATAGGGGGTTGTGGGCTCCACGTCACCTGCTTTTATCTTTTTACATATAAGCTGGGGAAATTAGCCAGGTGGGAGAACAAAGATCTAATTATAAATACTTCTTTCATGCAACCTGAGGCAGCGTAAGAATCAAGCAGCAACTGATCACCTTTCTTACTTCTTTCCAATCTCTACTTAAACCCAACTTTTTTGCAGTCTTTGGCATACAACCCACCTCCTATTGTAAAGCAAGTCTAAGCCACCTAGACAAGGTCTTTTGGCCTAGAAAGGAGGGCCATACTTTTCTATCTATAAATGCTTGCAGTCATAGCATGTCCCCACTCCTGTTTAGGCTCTCCTTTTCTTGTTTTCAAGTACAAGATAATGTACGCCCTTTCAGGTAAGCATCATATATATAGGTAGCACTATATACGTATTTCAATTACTTTTATAACAAAACATGATTTTCTAAGTGACAAAACAGAAGTGAACTCCTACACTCAAGACTCCATGGAACTCAAATGACAAACTCGAGGCCCTTGTGTTCATCAACCTCATGGTTTCAATGGCTTCTCCCCTTCCGCACTCTTCTTGCTTTGCAGAGCCCGGCTGCCTCCCCTTCTCTCCTGGCTGCCCAGGACCCCACTTCAAGTGCAACAAAACCTACCAGCCACAATATTCTATTTCAGGCTCTGTTAAGGAGGCAATGGCTTACTTTTTTCTTATTATTACTAGCTGACTGAGGCTGGATCCACATTCAGCACTGGGGATTTTTTTTTAAAAGAAAACAGATGCAACACGGATAGTAGTCACAACATTAACATGCCAAATGTGCATCACCCTGATCTGTCAGGATTCACCGAAATTTGGGTCCTGCAGACAAAATTTCCCTTACCACCAGCCACACCACCTAGGGATTCTGGGAGCTGAAGGCCAAAGGTTTTCCACCCATGATTTACATGCCCTGCTGAAAACTTGGAAAAAGGTTATACGGAATATCTCACAGAACTGAACATTTCCAAAGATTACAGGAAGGTCTGAGGTTTCTCCATGCAAAGAAATGATAGGAGAGAGACCAGCAACTGAAGGAAAACTAAGCAGGACAGTCTCTGGCTTATCTAAGCTGCCATTTGAGATAAGAAAGCAGCAGCTGGCTAGTCTTACCCAGGAAGCCCCACAGCGACTGGTCGCGCAACAGGGCGATGGGATCTCAGCGCTGACTGAGAAAGCCCTCTTCTTTTTGTGCTCACAGGGGAGTTCACAACAGGAAGCTCATCATTACTAAAACGAGAGGAATTTGGAAGATTACTTTCAATTTCCATCTTAGAATGACAAAGCTCAAATAATGGAAATATTTCAAAAAGAATACATTGAGTCTTTGACAAGGAGAATGCATATACATAAAGAAGCACACTCAACAGGTGCAAAGAAGGGCTAGCTTCAATGCCAACAAACTTCACAATCTAATTTGGTTTCAATCCCATTTCTTCCTCTTTCCTGTTGTTCAGGAATTTATACTGCCTGACTGGCTGAGGTGACTACAGCTTGAATACAGTTTCAATAACCAGCTGAACAGAGTGTGATCACACCTTCATAAAAGTGCTTAAGGGAGGGCTCTTGGGGACGGAGCAGTAAAACCACAGGGTCTTCAGCCTTGTTAACTACAGTGTCAAATGCAAAGCATAGCTAAAATGAGCTATGTACGGATGTCAGTGCTAAGAGATGGTAAGCAGTGACCTTGCTTCAAAGTAGGGCTGGGTGACTTCCAGAGATCGGAGAAGCACTGGCACACCACACACCCACTGCCAAATCATCTGCTGTGGTGAAAAAACATGTGTTTTCTGCTGTTATTACAGCAGATCTGGTGAAGCAACAGGGACCTGGGCAGCAGCATGTGGCCATGTACTGCCAATTTCTGCTGTAAACCAAGAATGTGCTTATAAGTTAAAACTCTAGAGCTTAGGGTGGGTAACTAACTTAAAACTATGAGATCTACTGTGCAATCAAAACCATGCATAGAATGGTCCTTGGCCACCTGACTACAACTACTCGTCACCCTAAACATTACATGGCTTGTCAACCTGGTCATACATTTTTGGCTTGAACTTCATTATTTTCTTCTGATCTGTCATATTTTTACCTGTTATATGGATCCAATTCAAAAGGATCTCCAAAGACAGAGAGGGAGGCGGCTCCAATGTCAGCTCTCATGAAGCCAAGTGAGGGTTCAAATGGTTTGTATACAGACGGGATTGAAGCACCACGCACAGGCTTGCCAAGATGAAGGGTTTTTGCAATTCGGGAACGAGCAGTCACTTCAGTTTTCACCTAAGCAAAACAGAGAGGGTCAAATTAGAAATTAAGGAACTGTGACCAAGATATGTCCCCCTCTAGCAATAGGATTTCCTCAAAGTTTCATGCCTCAGCAACCAAACTTACAAATTAAGCCCCAGTTACTTTCCAATGACCAATCACAAAACAAAGCAGGGCTAAATGCAAGATACAGAGGTGAGAAAAAGTACATGTGCTGAGAGAGAGAGAGACACCTGGCCCTGTGTCACTTATATGCTAGTAGGAGGATTTCCATCAAAACTGCTGCAACCATTAAAAAGGATATATGATGCAGGTGTGGGAATACATCCTCCATCCCATAGTAAAATTCCTAATAGAAAGTACTTTACCATAGGAAAAGTATTAGAAGAGTGGAAAATAATCTTCAAACATACTTTTGCTTTTTTCACCCGTCGTCGTTTTCGTCGCTTGCGTCTCTTCATCCATGTTCCAGCACTCTTTTTTCCAGTGGATGTTTTTGTATGAGTTTTTTTACCTGCTGTTTTCTTTCTCTTCACTGAGTTAGACAAAATATAAACAAATGCATAAGAAGTCAACAAACATGAACTTGTCATCAACAGCTCTCTGGAATCTGCATACACAAAATATTTACAGTAGGAAAGCTAATCTACTAGATCTGATATGCCCCAGTCTAAATTCAAATACACATGTCCTTCTGAAGAGAAGTGGCACACCCTCTGATGGAACTTTTACTGTAAAGTACTGTTTGTTTGCTTGCTCTGATAAATCCCTTGATCACTGAGATTTAATGCAAATTCTAGATCATCCGAGCAAGCTGCATTCATCATGGTTATTACATCCCATCAAGCAAGGAAGATCTGGGCTCAAACCACTGCTCTGCCATGAAGTGATACCAGCCCTCAAATCCCAGGATTATAGTTAAGATAAAGCAAAGAGGGGGGAAAGAGAATGACGTAAGACTCCTTAGAAACGTTAACTAATAAAAAGTGCCATCACTACCTCCTTTCCGTTTCCTCTTAGTCGGGGCCCGAGGAGTCAACGGCCTCTGGTACACTGCCGTGCTTAGCCCTGCTGCAACTGCCTCAATGGTTTCATCAAGAAGAGATGACATGAGGTACCTTGGAACGTGCTAAAATAAAAGATGAACATCTTTGGTCTAAGCTGTCTCCTTCAAAATAGTGTCAAACTGCATTAAACCCAGAACTAGAAAAGCCTATCTTTCATTTTAGTTCACAGATAAAGCTGCTCCCATCTTTCCCACGATGAGTAGCAGCTTCCATCTCATTCATTAACTCAAGTCACTCAAAATCTCCCCCACACCCCTCACAGAGGCAGGATTGAAACCAAAAGTGACTTCTGCTCTCAAACAAGTGACACCCTTAAACTGAAAACACATCCGAGTATAGGCAAAAAATGTGGCAACATTTCCCCTGCATCGTCAAAGAGCGATCCATTCTAAAGTTTAAAAAACTGGGGCACTGAGAGGTCTTGGAAAGGTATGCAGCCCCTGGACTTCTGGAAATTGCCCATCCCAGATTAGTCAGTGAAGAACTCGGGGTTTTTTTGAAATTGGTTGCACAATACCTGAATTCGCTGTGCAGTTGTTATCCGATTTCTGTTCACTGTTGCCCGCACACGCTCACTCTGACGTGTTCTTGCTATAGCTCGTGTTCGGACATTGGGACGGAGTCGGCTAGTGGTAGGGACTACATCAGCTATGAGGGAGGCAACCTCCTCTTCGCTGACGTGGTCTGTTTCTGAAAACAAGGTATGTACATCAGTTGTCACTTGTGTTTCAGGCAGCACCCAAAAACCTCTCTAAAAAGCGAACTTCAGTCTTCCTTGAAACCTCCACAACCAAAACTCTGAAACTTCACACAAACGGCAAAGCTTCCCATAAGTGCCTGGCAGGACTCACTACCACAACAACAACAACAACAACAACAAAACCCTCTGGTTTAGAATTCTTTGTGGAAACCCCAGTATTTCCCATTTGAAGGAAACAGCCTGCTTCAAAAAATAGTTAAGGTCAAGATGCTTACTACCCACTGGTGTCAATAAGTTCAACAGTCAATTCTAGATGCCACTGTTTGTACAAAGGGGATCAGCATGCTATTGCTGTCTGAAGTTGCATGAACAAAAGCAGTATGTGTGCTGTTACTATTTTTATCATCCTAGTAATGTCATTTCCTTACTTGAGGGGAAAAAAACCTTGTCACAATAAAAAAATGTTGTTTAAAACCTTAAAAGCCATGTAAATTATGGGTAAGTGTTTTTCACAAAAACAAGTTTCCTACAATTCAAAGTTAACCTGTGGAATATTTTATAAATAAGATACTTGCCAGCATCAGCAGGACCAGCATTTGCTGGAGCACATGGTGGACAGAACCATTCATCCACAGGTACCTCCCTCAGAGGTGGATTAAGGCATTCCATGTGATAGCTAAAAAAAAAAGGTACAGACAATACATTCTTCTATGCTGATCTTTTTTAAAAGGTCATATTCCTTGCCTAAGATACAAAGCCATCCTTCAATATGCAGTTGTGAATTAGGCAAGAATTCTAATTCAGAGTACAAGCATTTGACAAGAGTACACACCATGGAGGATTTCTCATAACAATGGTTTTTTACCCTGCATCACAGCCATCACACAGCAACAGGCGATCTTCTCTGTCACTTCGGCCACACACTTCACAAAAGGTTGGATCATCTTCCACATCATCTTCTTGAGATTTTGCGTTTTCAACTGGAATCTGATCAAAGATGCATGTCCTTAGAAAGTTCTGTATGGTCATATTAGATCAACAAAATAAAGCAATCACCTGTTTACTCCAATTCAAATAAGCATGAGTTTTTTGGGGTTGGTTGGGTTTATGCTTCCTCTTTTTACTGACTCGAAGAAAAATCAACTAAAGTGAACCGAAGAAGAAAAAATAAAGTAATAAGCAATTCAAGAAAACTCAAGCTATAAGATAATGTTTACCTCCAACTGAGGACAGATGCAGTCAAATCCTGTTAATGTTTATTACTACAATATAAGTCCCACTGTATTCCATGGGTACTACTCCCAACAGTGCCTACTAGAATCACCATCTCAGATGTTCATCAGCACACCACTGAAACTGTCACAAAATCACACTGAATGTCAACTGATGAAGGCTTAAAAGGCTGAATCCAGACAAAACAGAGATCCTCCTGCTGGGAAGCGCACCAGACAAGGTTGGAGGTTGGCAACCTAAGTTGGATGGAATTAGCCTTCCTCTTAGGGATCAAGTCTGTAACTTGGGAGTGCTCCTAGACCCAGCCCTTTAACTGAAACAACCAATATTGCCGTGACATTTAGTCAACTTAGGCTTACTGCCCAGTTATGCCTCCACCTGGACGAGGAGTCCCTGACAATGCTAGTATATGCAGTAGTGGTCTCAAAGATCAACAGGACTTGAAACATTTTAGAGTGTCTCATCAGTCAGTCAAAAATTTCACCAGTTAGCATGATTGGACTATAGCCTTGCAATTTATTGGGGTTGGGAATCGCTAATTTATACCCTCAGACTTGGGTTGCTTTATTACCTGTGTGCCCGTGGGGTCATGAAGCTTGTATTTTGAATGCCTTTCTTTTGAATGTCTCCAGCAAAAATAAAACTGAAAGCAAAAGCGCCCGGCCTCTGAAGGAGCCACGGTTCCCTCCCACCCCAGGATGTGTCCTCGTTCAGTTGAAATTGGGAGCAGGAAATCTCCATATTCTCTAGCATGGGACTTCTCTCCACTCCGTTTAATGCGTTCCTATTGGGGAAAACCTCACCGGTAAGCGAAGATTCCCCCATTCGGCCGCCATTTTCGCTGCCCGGTAAGCAAGGGCAGGGCGCGAAAACGCTGCGGGCGGCCATTTTCTGTACCCGGCGGCCATTTTGGAACCACCAATCAGCTGTTTTCTAAACATCGCAATGCGAAGATCGGTAAGCGAAATGCTTACCAATCATCGCAATGCGATGTTTAGCCTATCTAAACGCGTCGCTATGCGGATTCGTTAAGCAAGGCACCACTGTACTTGTAACTCTCTCTAAATGGAGCTGCCCTTGATGCTGACTCAGAAATTTCAAGATGCAGAATGTGGCAGCCAAGCTGGTTTCTGGTGTGAACAGGTTTAATCAGATCACCACAGTACTGGCCTGCCTGCATTGGCTCCCCATTCCTTTCTAGGCCAGGTTCAAGGTCTGGGTTTTAACCTACAAATCCCTTAACAGTTTGGAACCCTGCTACTTCTCGGTGCATCTTTCCCTCAAAATTGAGCCCCTACCACCAGATCCTCATAAGTCTTAGGGGTCATCACAGCAAGGAAGACCGCTACCAGAAACCACGCCTTCTTGGTTGTAGCCCCTCCTTATGGAATGGGCTCCTATTAGAGTTGCACCAGGCCCCCTCCCTCCCAACCTTGAAGAGGACGTTAAAGACATTGCTCTTTAAATACGGTTTTAAGGACAATCTCTCTTGCATCAGTCTATATGTGAGTCATCCAGTCCCACCATCATTTAGGTCTTAGTTAGCTTGCTCTTGTTATTTTCATTTGTATTCGTTGGTCTAATGTTTGATTTGTGGGGTGGGTTTATTGAGTTAATTTTCATCAATTGTACATTGCCTAGAATAGTGCCTGGCATTAAGTCAAGCAGTATATAAATAGTTGTTGTAAGTTTTTCGGGCTGTTTGGCTATGTTCTGAAGGTTTTTCTTCCTAACTTTTTGCCAGTCTCTGTGGCTGGCATCTTCAGAGGACAGGCGTTAGAACTCTGTCTGTGTTCTGGTGTAGTGTGTGGGATAGTTGAGCATTTATAGCTGTGGGATCAGCTTTTTGTCCTTTTTCAGGAGATTGGGTGATTATGGTGAGCAGGGTGAGCAATCATTATGTTAGACTACACAGGGAAGCTATTGAAATCCACAAACACCAGCAGAGCTTCAACAAAAAAGTCTAAAACTCAACAAAGCCTGGCTCCCAGCACTGAAAATACAGCCTGCAAAGGGTCAACGAATTCTACCCAGCCACAAGGACCAGTGATCATTGCACACAAAAGACTAGTAACAAAACCCATCAATCACAGTGACAGATCATCCCCCCTTATCACAACAATACACCCATAACAAAAAGCACCCTGCTCACCATAATCACCCAATCTCCTGAAAAAGGACAAAAAGCTGATCCCACAGCTATAAATACTCAACTATACCACACACTACACCAGAACACAAACAGAGTTCTAACTCCTGTACTCTGAAGATGCCAGCCACAGAGACTGGCGAAACATTAGGAAGAAAAACCTTCAGAACACAGCCAAACAGCCCAAAAAACCTACAAGCACCATCGGATCCCAGCCGTGAAAGCCTTCGAGAATACAGTATATAAATACCTGAAATAAATAAATGGACTTCCAGCTATATTCCCTATGTTAGATTTAAAATGTTTCGGTGGTATTGCTATAGTACTGCAAAGTCTAGTGTTCTTAGGTATTAGACATTTGGGACATGAGAACAAAGTTGCTACAAAAAGACCATCATGAGGGAAAGCACATAGAATGTGTCTGTCACACCATGACCTCTGTATACAAAAGCATTTCCATGCAAAAAGGAAACCAAGTTTCCTATATTACTATGCGTAATTACATTAGCTTTACTTCACAAAATCAAAGGAACAGAACAATTAAGGAACTCCATAAACTCATGAATGTGTAAAAATAGATGATTTCTATCAACTGTGCATTTGCATGATGCTTCAAAACTTTTAAGTGACAAGAGGAAAATCCAGGAGAGAAACATACTCTGAATTAGGATTTGGCACTAGAAAAGGAAACACTACCATAGAAAGCTCTGCACAAGCTGTATAGAATAGGAATTCTATTTTTTTTCTTATATTTAATTCAACAGAAAATTTACCTTCTTCAAAATTTCTCCACCAAAGTGCACTCTAACACAGATAGAGTTAAAAATAATTCGATCCACTGGACAAGAGTTGGCATTCTGTGGAAAAATGAGGAAAAAATTAATGTTTATGATTTTTAAGAGTTTCTAATTATCTCTTTTTATTCAGAAGATTATTTCGTTGACTTATTATTTGGTTCCTCTGTGCACATTTCCACTTTCAAAGAAGCAAGTTTAAAACTGCACATTATTCTATACTATAAAAGTAAGTGAAAATTAACTTCACAATTATCTGAATGCAGGGGTCTGCAAATATGTTTGCAAGCAGCCAGCATCTGCATGTACAGAGTGCAAGATTGGTAAAAGAGGATCCTCTACAATTGCAACCTAGACTTTGAAGATCCACACAAGCAACAAAACTTCACAAAGGCTCCAAGAGTCTTCAGTGAGCACATGAGATTTGCTGTGATTACAGCACAGACAATTCCTGCCAAAATATAGTGTAGTTTTTTGCAGCTGGCCTTGAACAGTCTACTACACGTTGGTTAACAACTACAGATGTTCATTAATTAATGTCACAATCACTTTGCATTTTGGGGCAATATTATTGAGTGTTCAAGTCGGTATTTCTGATTTTTGTTGCTTTTAGAAGGTCCACAAACAACAAACTCTCTAACTTTCAGCCCTTCTGGGCGGGGTTCCATTGCAACCAGAGCCAAAGGGGTTTGAAAACAATCACTGCACAGAGAGAGGCGGAGTCACATGTGTAGCTGTGTATTGTGAATGTTATGATTTATGTAATTCTTTGTATTATTTTACTGTTTATATTACACTGGAAGCCGCCTAGAGTGGTCTTTTAGGCCAGATGGGCAGGGTATAAATCAAATAAATAAAAAATAAATAAAATAGCTTAGAGGGAACCTTGTCCACAAGTCTATTTCACTGCCATAACATCTGGCTTTGAACAGTTGTCAGCCTCACACACAGGCTACTAAGCTACCAAACAGCAACCTGAGGAAGAGATAGGAAGAGGCAAGAAAACACGAACACTCTACTCCTTCCACTCCACCGGCCTTCTTAGGGAAAATCTGGAGAAGCCAGAAAGATTTTCTTATTTTCCCCTGGGGAAGTTAGCACAAAGACATATGTGCTAGGCAGTTCACACAATCAGGATATAAGACTTAGCAAGCAAAATGTTTAAATGGTACTTACTTTAGACCACTCCACAATACAGTCCAAGCAAAAATAATGGCCACAATTTTCAGGTGTCCCAACAGCCTGATCCCTAAATGTGTTGAGACATATTGGGCAGTTTTCAGCATCTTCATCAGAAGAAGATATCATATCTCCATTAAACTGTGGCTTGGCTTTAACAGAGTATCTTGATTGCTCAGCAGTCATATCTATTTCTTCTTCTTCCTCCTCCTCCTCTTCATCAGAATCTTTAAAAACAATGAAAGAAATAGATTTGTACTTCCAGTTCTGTCCACACAGTGCACTCTGAACTAGAATGTTATGGTGTCGCACAATTCTGAAGAGAATCAATAGCTGAATTCAGGATTTCTATATGAGCAAAAATACATATTTTCAATATTGGCCAGAGTCCTTTTGAATATTTGCACACACACAAGAGCAACAATGGAAGTGGCCACAGCAAATTGACAAGCTATCGGCAAGGTGCCTGATTCTGTGCCAGATCATATATGCAGAATGGGTCTAGAATGCACCCAGCACCTTGTTGTAACAGCTTCTGCAACTGCTCTGGTGCATGTATAAATATCTGACAGGAGTCTGACCATTATGTCCTTTTAGTGACATGGCCAAAATACTCACAAGAGACCCTTCAGGGTAGTCCCATCTAGTACCACAGCAGATGAACTGTACAGTCATGCCCCGCTTGATGATTACCCCGTTTAACGATGAATCTGCTTCACGATGTTTCTGTGATCACAAAAACGATCGCAAAACGATGTTTGAATGGGTTTTTTTGCTTAGCGATGATTGCTTCCCTGCTTCAGGAACTGATTTTTCGCTAAACGATGTTTTTTCAACAGCTGATCGGCAGTTTTCAAAATGGCCGCTGGCTCTCAAAATGGCCCATCGCTGTTTTTAGGAGGCATTTTTCGCAAGACAGGCACCGGAAAATGGCTGCCCTACAGAGGATTTTCGCGTTATGATGAGGTATTCCACCTATTCGAACACATGTGCCTGTCTCGAATGCATTCTAATGGGCTTTTAAATTTTGCTTGATGAGGATTTCGCTGAACAGCAATTTCAACGGCATGGATTATCGTCAAGCGAGGCACCACTGTACTAAATTTGACCCGGATTGGACATCGCAAAAACCAAACAATGCTATTTTAAAGAAATTACCCAGTTAAGATTGGTGCAGTGCTGTATGTTATGATTTCAAGCCCAAGGCTCAAATTCCTGCTCAGCCACAAAGCTTACTGGGTCATTCTGAACTGGTCATTTCCTCTTGGTCTAATCTACCCATTAAACAGAGTAATTTCTATGGTGTTAGTGTAGAAATAACCCTATGTAATGGATAAATTAGGCCAAAAGATCTCTGGAAGAAGAGTAGGGTGAATATAACAACAGTATGCATGAAGTGTACTCCTTTTGCTCTGGTCCTAATACTATAAACATGTATGTAAATTATTTAAGCTAGCAACACCTTCCATAGGCACCCTGGTGGCTCACTCTTATTAAGCAAGTCCTTGTTAAGTTATGACATTAAATACTAAAGCACTTTACTCAGAGGTTTTATATAACCACCTTCTAAATCTTCATCTTCACCTTCTTCATCCTCTTCACTTCCATCTTTGCTAGTATCATCTTCTTCATCACTTCCTGTATCATCTGAGTCACCACTGTTGCCATCACTGCTTTCTTTTGAATAATGGGAACAAAAGGGGGCAGGAAAGGACATGAGTGCTGATTACTAAGTAGTATATGACCTAAACAGGCAAACAGGAGCCATGTTGTTATCCAAGGTCCAATAACGGACAAACATTCACCATTTCCCCTCCCACAGTTGTGCCACTATTTGTAGTTGATGTAGAGAATAATAGATGGGAGCCACCCTCCACTTGTACACGTGGATATTAGAAATGATGTAAGACCACTAATATTTGATTTTCTTTATGCATCACACAATATAACCTGTATCTAAAATGTACAAGTAATCACAGAACACATGCAAAGAACAGAACGCAATACTCTGAGGCCCTTCTTTGATTAAGATATTTCTGCATTCAAAATCTATGTCACATGTCATGTAGAAAATACTTATTTAAGATTAGGAAGTGGTGGTAGCTTGGAACACATTCTGGCTAGTATCATTTACCTGCATCACTGAAGAGCAGTGCATTTGTTCTTTTGACTTTGCCTACTGAAGCGTTGTTCTTTATGAGTTCATCCTGACTGTCATCGTCCATGGCAGGGCATCTGGAACTGGTTCCCTACAAGAAACAAGGCATAAGCTGAAGACACATATATGCAAAGAGCACATTAATTCAACAGTTAAACAATTCTGTTTGACCACAGAGGTAAAAATGCACCCTGTATACGTGTACCAAGAATTTGGGAGCCTTTTAAAATGGTACATGAAAACAAGCACCTAAAATAAGCTTAGGCCTCTCAGCTTTAGCTCATACAGGCCAAGACGACCTCAGAAGCACAGAGCACCTCCAACCAATTTAATCTTTTTGACAAAAATGGTTGAAGCCATTTCTGAGCAAGAGCTGTCTTGTCACAGCAATCCATCTTCCAGCAAAAGGGCTCTGTAAATTCTGTTGGTACTACTGTATTGCAATACTTCTGAATGTATGCTGAGTATTTTCCTCTTCCAACACACCAAAAGTGGCAGTTGGTTCCTCTCATGAAATAAAGAAGGGCAATGGAGCAGATGGCACTGATCCTCAAAAGCCTGAGCAGGGTGGATTTGAACTAAAAAATCCACAAATGCATTTTTTTGCCAACTGAAATTTTAAAAAAATCAATCTTCAATTTAAATTGTGATTTAAATCAATTTGATATTTACCCACCCTGGGCCTGAGTCCCCCTAGCTCTCATTCTGAACATTTAGAATAGTTCCCACACTCCTAGCAATCCCAGTACAGCAACTGCTTTCAGCACCAGGATAAACACAGCTGAAGAGAAGTGCTGCTCCCTCTCTCCCAAAGAAATCCCAGCTGGCTTTTGAATAGTGTGGTTTAGTGGATAGAGTGACAGACTAGAACTCAGGAGGCCTGCGTTCCACTCTCTGTTTAAGCCATGGAAACTCAATGGGGCAGTGAAACTGGCAAAGCCACTCCTTAAATACCTCACTTACCTTGAAAACCCTATTAGGGTGGCTATAAGTCAATTTCAACTTTTCAGCACAAGTTTTTCTCTAGAGCAGCTCCCGTTCAGAGTTCAGTGGTTTGCCCCCAGCCCCCCCCAGTTCCCCCAAGCCTTAGACAGCTTCCAGAGGATAAAACCAAAGGAGGTAGCTCCACTCCATCCCTTTCACATGTGAAAAAGCAAGTAGGAGCAAAAAGACAGCTCCAAAGCGAGAGGCTCTTGAAGAAGGGACATAGCAAGAAAGAAGTGGAACTAGGAGGAAAATCTGAAAGCATTCTTCTTTCACCCATTAAATCCCTTCAAAAACTGAATCTTCTTTATTGTTTTGTAAAAGTTCTATGTGTAGTTGGAATGAAGGGGCATTTTTGAAGGCACTTTTTGACCTAGAGGTGTTTGGAAGGAATATATTCTCAGAGACTGCAAAAGGTTTTACGGCTGCAGCTGTTGCTGCTATCTAACTATTAACTGCAGGGGGCAAGCAGTTTTGTACAAGACGGAGGAGTGGAGAAAGAAACACAGATACAGTACTGAGCAGCATCTGAAAGAGATCTTCAAAATGCTACAGTCAACCCTGACAGATCTGCAACATATATGGAAAAGGAAAGATGGAAAACTCTTGCAGATGCCATTCAAAACCAAGTCGTCTGGATTTTATTGGAAAATCAAAGACTGTTAAAATTAGAAGGCCATGATCCGAAATGGGGGTGGCACGCCTTTCTTTGGTACAGTAGAGTGGATGATTTTAAACAATAACCATATTTTGAGAAAATCTTTATTATGGTCTTGGACTAAAATTCAAAGACAAATGTATGTCAAAATACCATGTTGGGCAATGCCAGTAGAGGCATTCTCTCTTCTAAATCTGAGAGAAAACAAGAAAATCTTAAGGTATAGAGAAGCACTAAAACCAGATGGGACATTAAAAAACAAAGATGAACTAATGATACAGGGATTTGATATAGATTGATAGTCACACTTTCAGCTGATTTCAAGATATGATAAAGATAAGCAGCAAGGTTTTTATGTAGCTAATACACCCTTTGATAGACTTCTCCTGGATGCCAAAGATAAGCATATCAAAGCATTATACAATTTTTATTAGATTTTGATACCCAGGAGGAAGCGGTTAAAGAATGCATGATAAGGTGGGCACAGAATATTGGACACAATATAAACTTGGATCACTGGGAACAAATATGGAAAAACAATATAAAACTCACTAAGAAAGTAGCTTTTAAAGAAAATATATACAAAATGTTTTATAGATGGTACATAACTCCCACAAAATTAGCCAAAATGGATGTAAAAAATTTCAAATTTCTGTTGGAGATGTAAACAAAAAGAAGGTTCTTTTTATCATATGCGGTGGTTATGTGGGAAATCCCAAAAATATTGAAAAGGCTTGTAATGCGTTTGCATGAGGTTTTGGAGATTCCGATAACGGTAACCCCCCAATTTTTCTTCTAATTATAATTCTGGATTCAATAGATGTAATGGAAAAATATTTAGTTATCCATATTTTGACAGCTGCAAGAATTCTTTTTGCTAAACACTGGAAGGACACGGAGAATCCATCTCAAGATGAGTTAACAGCAAAAATCCTGGACACAGCGTTGATGGACAAACTATCAGAATGGCTAGACTCAACAAGAAAGACGAACCATGAATATTGTTGGCATAAATTTTATGATTGGCTTAGAAACAGAATGTAAATTAATATTTGATAATTGAAAGCCTAAAATTAAAGTTAGAATATGTATGATAAATCAGTTACACCAGAAACTTATGTATCTTTGTAATATAACAGATAACAATGAATATTGTAAAATGTTCATTTTGATTTACAACCCTTGTTTAATTCCATGTCCCCTGTCTCCATCCCTAACCCTAACCCCTAATATAAAGCTTTTTTTTTTTTAAAAAAAGCAAAAAACCCAAGTCTTCTGAAAATCTACCTCACATCTTTTTCAAACAGCCTCATTCAGGTGCAGTAAATGTTTGACAATGCCTAAGCCTGAGTATTCCTGGTTTTGCTAAGGACAATGAACAATGATTATGTGAATGGCTTAATTTAATGTAAGACAGCTCTACATATATCCTTCAGTTGCTAACCAGAGATAACTGCTTTCTAACCCCCAACCTGAAGTGGTCCCATCTCTTTATGGTGTATGTTTTTGAGTCCTGATCTAGGTAACCACAGTTTGAGTAGCAGAGAGAATTATGCTATATAACGTTGGTTTTCTTGTATACAACAATATTTTTGCAGTATAAGCTATATTGTTTTTTTTAACTAAACACAACAACTAGGTCATAAACTTACATAAGCAACAATAATAACCAAGAGAGAAGGCATATGTTTTCTTAGGAGGTTGCACTACCTTCCCCTGCTATATCTTCATTTTTGTGTTATTCCAGTATCATTTTATACACCTATCAGCCACATTAACAGTAATGCATACTCACAACAAAGGCTTTCTTCTACATATGAACAAACAAGTCATATTTTGTCCCCATGTTTGGAGAACAAGTTGGGCAATATGATTCTTTTCCAATGTAATGGTCAGTTGCTAAAGAAAAGATCTCACGTTTGAACACAAGGTAATGCAACCATACTAAAATCCATGAGACTAAGTCTGACCCTACTATGGCTATCGCACTCTACATAACCACTTCACAGTAAGATCCACTGAATGCAGTAACTTACTTCTGAAGAGGCTTTTATAGGACTGCACTAAGAGTTTTCTGCTGTACTTTAGTCTAAGGAAATCCAAAATGCAAGGCTGCTCAGTCACACAGAAACATTATGCTAACACAGATTTGTAGAATATCTATTCAGTCTTGTGCAGGTGCCATAAAATGAAAAAAACAACTTTACATCAAGATGCAGTTTTTAGATTAAAGCAGCTTTTCAAGATAACCCAGTATGAGAGTGATAGGAACAGCTGCTTTCTGGATTCCTGGGAGAACATTACAGGGATATTTCAACAAAGCAACATTTCTGCATAAGCAAAATACAGTATGGTTAACTACCAACATTTGCCATTATCCACTGTTCTGTTTAGGACATAATTCTAAATACAATGCTCCTAGAGAAAAGTCTGGCAACTTAAGCTGATTGTAAGATAGCGATATCTAGTATAAAACTGTATGCTAATCAATATGCTAGCTACATACAGAGTTTGGAAGGTTTGACTTGCATAAGAATTTTCTGAAACTCACTCAAACCATATCATATCCTGATTTTGTCTAGATGATGAAACAGAAAGGTGTTGTGTTCTAGCATTGTTAAACAATAAGCTTAAAGCTTCTCTTTGGCATGATAAAGATTCATGTGGCAACTTTATGAAAAACACACGCATTTCAGGACAAAAAGTGTACTTCCTCAAATGCAGACAATGCAATTTGGGGGTTTCAGATATATGTGGCTGCAAATGGGATATAGACATTGGAATGAGAACTTATTTAAATCCAGAATTATCAGCTGTAGTTATGTTATTAAACAGAATTATATAAACACTACCTACTGGGGCTGTAACATGTTGGTCACTAACAACTGTAGACATAAACATACTGGAAGGAGCCCTTTTGCTTTCTTTACAAAGCCAGTCAATTTTTATTTAGTTTTACATACATAACTTTTATAAAATGTAATAAGGAAGAGTTGCTTTCCATAATTAAGAGTCATACTCAGTTTATCAATTATACAAAAGCAGATATATGAAGTAACTGGCCTAAAATTAACACCTGGGGTAAAATAATAATAATGAGGAGAAGGGCTATGGCTATGACCACTGTCTAGATAGGCCTTATTTTAACACAATGTTCAGTGTTGAATGTCACAGTTCATGTGTGGCAGAATATGCCAGATGGGCGGGATATAAATCGAATGAATGAATGAATGAATGAAATTAAATAAATAAATAAATAAATAAATGCATCAAGCTAGAAAGCAATATGGTGGAGGCAAGGGGAAAGTCTGAAAGGGAGATGCATAAAGGAGAGAAGAACCACTTCATTTGAACAATCCCAGAAATTATCTATTTATTTATTTGTTTGTTTGTTTTATTTATAGGCTGCCTTTCTCCTGATAAGGGGACACAAGGCAGCTCACAATATTAAAAAGAACAGAATTAAAGACATAAGTTAAACATTAAAACATTAAAAAATTAAACTATACACTAGTTAAAATACCACTGAATGATTAAAAGCAAATAAACATTAAAAACTATATTAACTTCAAAACGAATTCAGGGATTCTGTCATGACTGTTAAAAAGCCTGCCTGAAAAGATGGGTCTTCAGCTATTGGCAGAAGAATAAAAAGCAGGAGGTTAGCCTGATCTCCCTAAGGAGAGCATTCGATAACCTGGAAGCTGCCACAAAGAAGGCCCTCTTTCATGTCCCCATCAATGCTGGCAATGGGACCGAGAGGAGGGCCTCCTCTGAGAGAAGGATCATATGAGGAGATACAGTCCTTCAGGTAGCCTGGACCTAAGCTGTATAGAGCTTTATAGGTAATGACCCGCACTTTGAATTGGACCCGAAAATGGACTGGTAATCAGTGCAGCTGTTGTAACAGGGGCATTATATATTCCCTATAACTGGCCCCAGTCAGTAGTCTGCTGCATTTTGAATCTTCAAAGACAGCCCCACACAGAGTGTGTTATACTGTAGTAATCCATGGCATGTCACTTACTGTAGCCAAACAAGGCATCTCAAGGAATGAAAGCAGCTAGTGCACCAGTTTTAACTGTGCAAAAGCACTCTCTGCCATCGCCAAAACCTGGGTATTGGCTTGGGGATGAATCCAGAAGTACACCCAAGTTGCGAACTTGGTTTTCAGGGGGCCTGTAACTCCATGCAGCACACACCGTATTCCTATTCCCTCATCTGTCTTCTGATTGACCACTCTGTCTTGGCGGGATTAAGTTTCTGTTCCTTTGACCTCATTCAGCCCATTACTGATAGCAGGTACTGGTTTAGACCAAAAAGAGGAAAAAGCAAAGATGTGAGAGGGTGTGCCCAGTATGTCTACATGATGGCAGTAGAGGCTTTTTGTTAGCCACTGCATGAGTGGGCCAATTGACAATTCTATACATACTTCCTGCAATGAGGAATATTTACACTGCATACATCTACTTAGAACTGGGTTCTACCCACTTCAATGAGCTTACTTCCAGTAAACTAAATAGAGGACTGCAGCCTCAAGGCACAAAGTGTGGTGGAGGATTTTTGACCTTCCAGTTGTCCTGACTGAGAAACTCAAGGCTGTACGGCTAAAAGCAAAGAATCATAGAAACTGAGGATTCAAAGCTCCTGAAACCTGGTATAAGAGAATACTCTCCAAATGTGAGACAAGTCTGCCAAGGTGACACAGGCAACTAATAAGAGAAGAGACAAACTCCTTTCAAAGTCTACCATTGAGTTTGAGTGGAATAACTGAAGACAGAATTAGAAACCTAATTCAGAGCAATCTTGTCTATGGCTCTTTAATCAAGAATGTCAAAGTCATGCTGGGAGCCTACCGTTACAGCCTTAGTTTCGGCCATCAAAGCAATAACAAGGCTAAAAGAAGTGAAGCACTTGATCCTGGTGCACAAAGCTAAGAGGTACTATATATTTAGCAAGCAAGGAATGACTGAATAAAGATATAGACATCTGTAAATGCTGACAGGATTGTTCCTTAATCAGGTAAATTCATACATTCTAGATGTGACAGAAGCATCTTTTCTCCAGACTGGTCACTTCCCACTTACAGAAAACAATTATCAGAGAGGAGACAACCACTACCCCTAAGTCTGCTAAACTTATCCAGGTAAAACTCAATAAACATGGTTTAGAAACTCAGGTTGAATAAAGTGTAGAGAATTTCAAACTTTCTGCAACAGTGGTCTGTAATTTTATACTGCTTGGTCCTTTACTCATTTTGAGAACTGTGGTTGCTTTGTGGCATCAGAGTAAGTTTCAATTTGAAATTGTTAAGATCTTTTAAGTCATCAATGTCCTGTAACTCATGCTAATTACCCTTGTTATCTAGCAATAAGCAGACTTGGGGAAAAACAGATTTTGTTTAATGTTTGACAAATGTTTTGTTTAATGTTTGACAAATATCATTCATTCAATTGTTTAGATGTCACCATAAGTTGCCTTAGCAATGGTAATAATGAACTACTGGGTGCAGAAGTTCTCTAAAATAAGGAAAAAATTACGATACGACTAACGAGCAAACAATGCTATGAATCCTTCCCATAGTATTATCATTTAGGTCAAAGGGACAGCACATAAATACATAACAATAAAGTGAAATTAATGCCAAAAAAACCCTCTTTGGATTGAATGTCACGGGAAGTATGGGCCCAGGGAAGATCCAAGATGAAAATGGGTCACCCATTCTGGTTTCCAGCACACACCATGCACAAGAGTGGGAAATCGTTTAGGAAAAGCAAGGTTCCAGCAAAAACACTAGAAAAGTGCAATAAGAAACTACTCTCAGGGCCAAATCCAAACCAGGCGCCTTCCCCTGCCGAGTCCCATCCTAAGGGGAGCTTCACGTATTACTACGACTGGATCCATGACTACGAACTCGATCCTCCAGGCCCATCAACGGTTCCGGGCAGCACCCCAACCACCGCTTTGGAAACGCGCGCCGCCGTAACGACGCCCTTCTCCGGAGCTGCCCAGCTCCTGCCACCCTATCCGCCTCCCGCCGCTTCCCCGCAACGGCGTGTTGGTCCCACCGAAGACCCGCAAAGAAACACCAGCACCCCCTTCCCCCGCCTCAAAAAACATACCTGCGAGAAGGAGATCCCTCGAGGCTACGTAGAAAAACCAAGGCGAAGACGGCGCACGCGCGCCAAGCCGTTGAAGGGCCGAGGAAGAACGACGGAAGAAAAGCCGGAAACCGCGGCGAACCCGGGGCAACGGAGCAGGCCAAGAACGCCTCCAGAGCCGCCCCCGGAAGAGAAGCACTACCTCTTCCGGGTATCTTGACGCAATGGGCGGCAGGGCACAAGAGGACGCGTTGGGATGTACCATTTGTGTATAGCAGGAGGGGGCAGAGAAGTCCAAAGAAATATCGGCGTCGTGTGAGGTTTTTAGCTAACGGTTGGACCCCCCACAAATTCATCAAGGAAGGTTTGCTCTCACATTGAAAGGATGTAGCCCGGGCTGATAAGCTCGTCCCCGTCCAGTTTCCTACTTGCCAAGGCTTCGCTCTTAAGCACACTGCTCTCAAGGCAATACAGTGAGTGTATTCGTTGCCTGCCTACGAAGGAGCAGAAGCTGCTTTATATGGATGTGTAACGGAAAGAATCATGTCCTGAGACGTTTGCAGACCAACAGATTTATTTTGGTGTAAACTTTCGTGGATTACAGCGATCTCAATAAATGCACGGAATAAAATGGTTAGTGTTCAAAGTCCGACAGTGCTTTTGTTCTTCATGCTAAAAAAAAAAAAAAAACAGGCTGACACGAGTCGCTCAGTTCACAAGTTTATCCGGCTCTCCACTGGAGAAGAGGGCGGTCGTCCACCGTGCCTCGCACCGCGTTAGCCTTGAGGGTGCCAGGCGGCTCTTCTTCGTTGTTCTAGCAGCTCTCAACGGCCTTCGCCGGCTGGCAGCACCTCAAAAGAGCAAGAAGAGATGTTTTGATTCCTGAGGGTTTTTCTGTTAAGCTGAAGTGCGAGAGTTGGGATCAAGGGCCTCACGTATCTCTTTATTTCTTAAATTTTGTACACCGCCCGATTAGTGCTAGGTGGTTAACAGTCAAAGCCATAAGCAAATACTTATAATGAGACAAGAACAATAAGAAACAGAACGTGGTAAAATCTAATCAATCAATATGAAGACAAAATCAGCATCAGTTGATATAAAGTATTTGCTCACGGAATGAGCAAAGGCCGCTCCCAGAAACTGGTAGATTATGGGGCTGACAGCAGCCACGAAATTAAAAGACACCTGCTTTTTGGGAGGAAAGCGATGACAAGCCTCAATAGCATCTTAAAAGGCAGAGACATCAACTTGCCAACAAAAGTCAGAATACAAAAGACCAGCTAATGACACCCATCAACCACAGGGACAGATAATCTCCCCTCCTTATCAAAACAATACAGCCACAACAAAACACACTAATCAACCATCTCCTGATCAGGACAATAGCCTACCTCACAAACTAGCCTTCTCACAGCCATAAATAGTCCACCCACTCTCAAGCCTACCCAGAGCACAGTTTGCTGTCCTCTGAAGATGCCGGCCACAAAGACTGGCTAAACGTTAGGAAGAACCAGCCTTCACTAATACAAAAGTCAGAATAGTCAAAGCTATGGTTTTCCCTGTAGTGATGTACGGAAGGGAGAGCTGGACCATAAAGAAAGCTGACCTATGAAGAATTGATGCTTTTGAATTGTGGTGTTGGAGGAGGCTCTGGAGAGTCCCCTGGACTGCAAGGAAATCAACCCTGAGTGCTCACTGGAAGGACAGATCCTGAAGCTGAGGCTCCAATATTTTAGCCATCTCATGAGAAGAGAAGACTCCCTGGAAGAGACCCTGATGTTAGGAAAGTGTGACAGCAAGAGGAGAAGGGGATGACAGAGGATGAGATGGTTGGACAGTATCATTGAAGCGACCAATATGAATTTAACCCAGCTCCGGAAGGCAGTGGAAGACAGGAGGGCCTGGCGTGCTCTGGTCCATGGGGTCACGAAGAGTCGGACACGACTAAACGACTAAACAACAACAACAAAGGTGCTGGAGATGTTCAATCTAGCAAGAGGGGTGTGGTTCCCTTCTGCTAAAGGGAAGTCACTCTGCACACTCTCAGGACCACCCTTCTTTATTCACGCTTTCAGCGGCACTAGATACAAAGGTAAACAGAGCTCCTTTCACTTGAACTCCCGGACTGTAGACACCTATTGTATCTCGAGTTATTCCCAGAGAAGTGTGCACAGGATTTCAAAGAAGGAATTTTGTTGTGGCAACGCAAATTGTGATGTGGGTGAGAAAAGGTACAAATTGCAGCCAACCAAAAATCCTTCTTAAATCAATAGGAACCAAACTGTTTCCTTTGGTTTGGTACAGTGTCTTTGTAAAGGACAGCCTGTCAGGAAATGTGAAGTTAAAAGTTTTGATTAAAGATAGGGAAAGGTTGCAGTTTTCCAACCCTGAAATTAAAACAAACCAAAAACAAGTCTGAATTTTAATCTCATAAAATTAACCAGTGTCAAAACTGTTAATGCCACCATGATGTCTTCATTGTGCCCAGAAGTAGGTCTAACTCAGAGATTGATTGATTTATATTATTTATAAGGCACCTTTCTCCCCATGGGGGCAAAGGCAGCTCTCAACAACTACGACTATAAAATAATCCACAGTTTTATAAAACCATATACATAGCATATTAAAAAACAATAAAACATATAAAAATAAAAATAAGATTAAAAACAAGTTTAAGACATTAAAAGATTTTTTAAAAATCTGTAAGTTATTAAACAAAGCAAACCTGAGGCATTTGTAGCTTAAAAGTTGAGCCAATCTGGCTTCTTGGGGCAGTGTACTGCAAAGACTGGGAGCAACCACTGAGAAGGCCCTCCCTCCTGTCCTTGCCAAAGGAGCTTGGGAAGGTGGCAAAGCCAAGACAAGGGCCTCCCCAGAAAAGCCTTCAAATAGCCTGGATAAATATAGGTAAATGACCAGTGCTTTGAATTTGGCCCAGAGACAGGCTGGCAGCCAGTGAAGCTGTTGTAATAAAGGAGTTCCACACTCCCTGCAACCAGCACCACTCAGCAAGCTGGCTGCAGCATTTTGAACCACACTTCAGAGGCAGCCCCATTTTTACCGCAGGTTGCAGACAGGACGCAACTAAGGCACAACTAAGGCATGTGTCACTGAGGCCAGATGAAAGGGTCAGGCGCAGGCTGCACCTTGCAGTGGGCTCTTTAATGCATACCCTAACGCAGAATAAAAGCGTAGATGTTTAGGCAGGCCTCCCCCCCTCCATTAATTCCTGATTCTCTCTCCTCTTCTCTCTATTTGATTTATTTCATATGTTTTCCATCTTTTAGAATTGTGTTATAATTTTTTTATATTTGTGTTATATTGTATGTTGTAAGCCGCCTAGAGTGGTCGCAATGACCAGATAGGCGGGGTATAAATAGAAATAATAATAAGAAGAAGAACAAGAACAACAAGAAGAAGAATTCTGGCTTTCATAAGTTAAAACATCATGCAATTGAGGCCTGACCTACTACGGCTGCCATATTAAACGCGCCGATTGTCTGTAGTGGCTCTTATTGGATAGCGCGGTGCCTTTTTGGACAGCTGCGCGCGTGCGCCCCATTGGAACGCGGCTCGCGAAACATTCAACGTGGTCTCTCCGTTGTTATGTACGCACCGGACGGGCTTCGCGACGTTCTCCACAAGCGGCAATGCGGCAGTTCTACCACCAGGGGGCCCCCTGTGGCGCCCAGCCGCGGCACCACACCCTGCAGTCGTAATGAGAGCGAGCCGTGCGTGTAAAACCGCGCGGAACGGACGGACAGTTCTGCGTGCCAGTATTATTCCCCCGCTGAAGGGTTTGGGATTATAAGGATTATGCAGCTCGCGCGAGCGGGAAAACCCTTGTATTATTAAGGCTCCAAGTAACTGTATGAGCTAGAGACGCAAAGAGCGAAAGAACCAGACTTATTTTCCCTGCATTAAATGTATTTGCTACTCTAGCAAGAAGTGTAAAGTAACCCATCTCCTCCCTAGACGTAGGAGGACTACATGAAATCGGTAGAATCGTCTTGTAGGGCTTAGCTATGTGACCTAGCGCTGCCACCTTCCAGGGGCAAACTCCATATACTATTTATTGTGCCCTGTACAGTGGTAATTGTGGAAGTGCAGGCAACTCGTCTAGAATCTGCATAGGCGGGGAATCAGTTGAATTGGTCTGTAGCAACAAACGGGGGACATGCCTTTTGTAAAGTTTAGGACTGTTCATTGCCAACTCAAGACCAAACCACCCTACAACGCTTCACATCACAACAGTGATAGCTTGCAACAATATCCTGTCCCTGGGAATATCTCAGCTTCTATGGGAATTACAGCTAAACTCTGAGGGAACGTGGGGGTGGGGGGTGGCCACTGGTGCAATGCAAAGAAGTGTTATTTTGTCTTCTTATCACTGTGTAGTTATAGTTCTATTATACACCATCTGGATTTCTCTGTCACCATTCTTTCCTCATACTTGTTGTCACCTCCTGTCTGAGAACCCTCTGAATAAGGGATCTTCAACATGTCCTGTCCTCAGCAGCCCTGCTCAGCTCTTGGGACTCAAGCCTCCGGGCTCCTTTACTCAGTCAGTCCATCTCTTATTTGGTCTCCCTCTTTTCCTGCTGCCTTCCACCTTTTCCAACATTACAGTATAGTCTTTTCCAGAGAGTTTTGTACTGTCTTCTCATGATGTGCCCAAAGTAGGACAGCTTCAGTTTCAATATTTTTGCTTCCAGAGATAGTTGAGACTTGATTTGATTTAGGACCCATTCATTTGTCTTTCTGGCAATTCAAGGTATCTGCAAAGCTCTCCTCTAGCACCACATTTCAAACAAATCATTTTTCCCCTGTCAGCTTCCTTTATTTTCCAGCTTTGATACCCACACATAGTGATTGTAAACAGAAGAATTTGGATGATCTTGGCCTTGGTCTCCAACAACACATCCTTACACCTGATTATCTTATTTATTTATTTATTTATTTATTTATTTATTTATTTATTTATTTATTTATTTATCCTTCCAAATCTCAATCTTCTCCTTATTTTTTGTTGTTGCTGCTGCAGTTTCCATTTGGATTGATGACTATACCAAAGTCTACAAAATCTCTAACCATTTCAGTTTCTTCATTGTCAACATTACAGTTGCTTAGTTCTTGGTGTTTCTGTTTTTCTTCCTAATGTTCAAGTGTAGTCCTGCTTTGGCACTTCCTTCTTTC